GCTGGCAGCTCTCTGAAGGGTCTGAACAAACCATCATGGTTTTTTTTTCTCAGCCTATCCTTCACCTAGTTTGCATCTTGTCTGGTCCTTTGAACCCAGCCTGGAAAACTGGTTGACACCCCTTGACTGATTTCTCTGGGTCATATTCCTTCTTCCCACAGGTGTGCTGGAACTAGCTTAAAAAGCTAATTGTTAAACTTTCAGTCTGGGCATCTTTGTAAATGGGCAGATGCTACAAATCAAGGCTTGATTTGATATTTTCTTGATTGATTGTCTAGACTTAATAAAATAATGGAGATATTATTAAAGCTGATTAAACTGAAAAGTGTGTCATGCCTTTCAGCCAATTGTTAAATTATTTACCTGCACACCCCCACCTCTGGCTCACTATATGAACTGAAGTCCATGAAAGACTCCAGCTTGGATGAAGAGAAGGACACTTGGTTTTTCTGGCAGCAGATCACAAGGTTAAACATGACCCCTGTCCTCAAGGAATTGACTGTATGGTGAGGGACAGAACTATAATACTAGGTAGAATAAGTTCCAGAATCAAGTGTTCTGAAAATGGAGAGAAGGAAGTCGATTGCTTCTAGCTTGGGATCAGGGAAGCTCAGGGACACTCAGGAAACTCATCGCCAGCAAGTCCACTGACTAACGTGTATATATCATAATCAAAGGAGAAACCTTCATGGCATAATACATGGCCTATTTATTCTCATTTTACACATTATTTGATTAAGTTCTCAGTTGTCCAGCTCACAACAGATTATAAGCATCAAATCAGAATATATCAGGCAGAAGAGGCAAGAGAAAGGCAAGAAAAGGGGCCGGGCTAGGAGAGGCAGGCACACTGATGGCAACAGTGAGTGATAGCCAGTCACCTGACCATAGATAGAGCAGGGCTTCTTAACAGGGAGTCAGTCACATCTCATGCCAAGATAAGGTCAGGATGGATAAATAGTTTAGACATAAAATAAATTAACGAAGCATGGGGAAATGTACCTTTCGGATCTATTGATAAGAAACAGTTTATGACCAAACAAGAGATAAGAGAGGGTCACAGGAAATAAAAGAGATGATTTTGATTACATGAAATTAAAAGACTTTTGTACAAACAAAACTAATGCAGCCAAAATTAGAAGGAAAATAGGAAAGTGGGGGAAGGATTTTTACAGCAAGTTTCTCTGATAAAGGCCTCATTTCCCAAATATATAGGGAACTGAGCCAATTGTAAAAATAATAATAAAAAGAAGAAGAACCATTCCCCAATTGAGAAATGGTCAAAGGATGTAAACAACCAGTTTTCAGACAAAAATATCAAAGCTATCAAATCATATGAAAAAATGTTCTAAATCATTATTGGTTAGAAAAATGCAAATTAAAACGATTCTGAGGCACCACCTCACACCTGTCAGAATGGCTAACATGACAGAAAAGGAAGATGACAAATGTTGGAGGAGATATGGAAAAGCAGGGACATTAATGCACTGTTGGTGGAGTTGTGAACTAGTCCAGCCGTTCTGGAGAATGATTTGGAACTATACCCAAAGAGCTATAAAATCGTGTGTACCCTTTACCTAGAAATACCAGTACTACGTCTGCATTCGAAAAAGATTTTTAAAAAAGAGGGGGGGGATCCATATGTACAAAATATTGGTAGTAACTCTTTTGTGTAGCAAAGAATTGGAAATGGAAGGGATGTCCCTCAATTGGGGAATGGTTGAACAAGTTGTGGTATATGATTGTGATAAGAAATTATGAACAAGATTCTCAGAAAAACCTGGGAAGACTTATATGAACTGATGCTGAGGGAAGTGAAAGGGTTACTAGGCGGCACAGTGGATAGTGCATGGGGCTGGAGTCAGGAAGACTTGAGTTCAAATCTGGCCTCAGACACTTGACACTTACTAGCAGTGTGACCCTGGGTGAGTCACCTAACCGCAATTGCCTCACCTCCAAAAAAAGACTTTAAATAAAACAAAAACAAAAAAGGAAGTGATCAGCACCAGGAGAACTTTGTACAGTCACAGCAATGCTGCGGGGATGATCAACTCTGAAAAACAGCCACTCCCATCAGGACAATGATCCAAAACAGCTCCAAAGGCCCATGATGATAAATGCTGCCCACCTCCAGAGAGAGCCGATGAGAACTGAATGCAGATCTTTTATTTCATTATTTTCAAACATGTTTTGCTTCATTTTTTAACTTTATTTTTATTTTTTGTTTGTGATTTTTTTGCAACATGGAGAATGTGGAAATATGTTTTGCACAACTTCACATGTATAATCAGTATCAAATTGCTTGCCTTTCCAAGGAAGAGGGAGGAGTTGGATGGAGGAAGAGAATTTGGAACTGAAAAATTTTTGAAGGAATATTTTTTTAAAATTTTACCATAATTGGGAAATAGTTAATGAAATAATAAAAATATGTAAAATTTAAAAAAAAAAACCAAGAAATCAGTCCATTTCAGGGGGTTTCTGAACTTAGGTGGGAAAAAAAATGGCATCTTTATTTTCACTAAGCTTTAACTGAAATTGAGCATTCTCTTCAATTATTTAAAAACATTGTCCTAAGAAATTTCTCCCAAAGAGTCTGTGACCAAAATAAGGTTAAAACTAGAGGAAGAGCTTTCCCCAGCCCATTGGGTGACCTTTCCCCTCCCCCTCTATAGGATTTTCCGAAGGACATTACTAAGATACAACACTGGTAGGCTTGGATAGGGGTGTTCTGTATCAGTGAAGGAAGAGCCCAATGGATGAAATCACAGAAACACAGAACAATCAAAAGAAGCTGACATTCAAAACATCCAAATCTCTGTACCCCCCTAAAGACATTTAACTTTCTCAGAAGGTGGTGAAGACTTGGGAGGAAAGAAAACCAATAACTTTTTTTTAAATCCACTCATCTGAAGAAAGCATGAGACTTACATAGAGCCCATTATAGAGCCACCAGATGAATTGTGCATGCTCAAGACCTGCTCTGTAGGAAGGACATGGAGACTTGGTCCTTGGCAATCATCAAGAAGAATCTTTTTTTTTTTAATAGACCAAAATACTTTTCAAAAATAGCATTGTCTGAAGCAATTTAGGGCAGGAGCAAAGAGTCCAACATAACTGCCCCGGGGCATCCCTGGACTATTCATTCTGGAAATCAGCATTAAGGACCTACTGTGTGTAGAGCCCTGCAGTTGTAGAGGCTGGGGAAGATACAGTTTAGAGGATATAGGTTCTGTGCCCTTGGTGAAGCTCACAGTCTAGTAGGAAGATAGGTCTCCCATCCAACAACTCTAATCCACTTCCTGTCCACATCAGTACATTGGACAGGGGCAAACCCAGTGCTAGATAATGTTGGAGGGGAAGTCACAGAGCACTTCCTGGCATAATGTTGCCTTTCACCTACCTCAAGGCAGAAGAGGCAGCCCTCATGGTCTCCCAGGATCCTTTTCCAGCTCTGTTATTCTCATGCTCTATGTCCTTTTCCCCCAACTACATTATAAGCCCCTCGAGGGCAGAAACCAGATCTTATACTTCATAGAGTCATGTAGTCTGGATGAGACATTAGATAGCATAGAATCCCCCCTTGTTTTACAAAAAGAGAAACTGAGATCCTGGTGTCATGTAGCTAATTAGTGACAGAACCCAGCCTAGAACTCAAGTCCTTTCCCATTATGCCTCCCTCTTGTTTTTTTTTTTCTTCTATTCACCAGAACACAACTCACACAGTAAGCACTTGGAATATAGTGGCTTATAAAGATGGATGATTCTATCATATTTCTAACTAGACCAGATCCTCAGAAGACTCCCATAGCTGTTTACAAACAAGCAGCTCTCCCCTCTCCAGTATGATTGGAGGTGAAGTAGAAACAGAGCTGAAGTGAGTTGCCCAAGGTCACACAGTAAATCAGGGATGGAACTAGGCCCCTTGATTCTGAGAAGGGCTGAGGGCATCATACATAATTCTTAGCAAATCCCAGGAAGGCACCAATTGAAGAGAGTCCTGGACTTACCCAGGTGACTTTAATTGACACAAGACTTTGAGATTCTGAATCACACTAGGCATACCAATAAATCCCAACTAATTTTTTGGGGACCTTCCTGCTAATAAAATGTTAGAAATGGAAGAGAGATTAGAGGTCATCTGGTCCAACACACTAATTTCTCAGGTGGATAAATAGGCCCAGAGAAGAGCAGTGACTCACCCAAAGTCACACAGCAAGTTAACATCAGAAGAATGACTAAACCCTGGATCTTCTGACTTCCAACATAGCACTCATAGAATGTTGCTGTTGGAAAGGGACCTGCAAAATGGTGTGATTCAGTCCCCTCATTTAAAGTGAGATTTTATTGCACAGCATTTGGAGCACCTACCCAACCCTGTGCATATCAACCTGCATTTGTGCTTTTAGAAGACATGACCTAAAGTGCAAGAAAGCCCAGGGCCTGCCAGTGTCTTGGGTGGTCAGAGGCACCTGTTAAATGTATGTCTCCCCCCCCTCAATTTTATTCACACACACACACACACACACACCCCACCCCTCTCCTTCCCATAAACAGCATGGAAGAACCTAGGGTTTGGAGTCAAAAGACATAGGTTCAAATCCTGGCTCAGGCCCTTAGTTCCTCTGTGACCTTAGGCCAACCCCTTACCCTCTCTGGAACTCAGTACCCCAATATCCTTGCAAAACAAGGAGTTGAACTAGATGGTCAGTAAGATTCCTTTCTATTCTAAATCCATGACCCTACTTCTCCTAGAGCCAGGAGTCAAGCTGTTCTCCCACCTGCTGCCTTTCCCCACCCCAACCCAAGCTCCCAAACCTTCCCCCATCCCCCTCTGGCCCCACCCCACACTGGGTCTAGCCAAGTCCTCCCATAGCCCCACCCGCCCTGTCCAAAGAAAGAAGATGTGGGAGAGGAGCTGGGGAAAGGAGTAGGGGAAGGGGACCCTTCTGGACAGGAATGACCCCAAAGAGGTTGGATGACGGAAGGAGTGAAGCTCCCACCTGACTTGGGGTAGGTCACGATCCAGACGTCGCTATCCCTCACTGGGAAATTGGCAATCTCCTCCATCTTCCCCCTGCAGAAAGGCGGCAGCCGGACCCCGTGGTGCTCAAAGTATTTGCTCTCGAACTCGCCTGGGGTGCTCGGGGTCTCCGCCTCGCTCTCTGCCATCCTGCCCCCCTACCTCACCGCCGCCGCCGCTCTCGCAGCTTCAGTTGGAAGGATGTTGCTGGCCTTGGCCCCTGGCCCTTAACTCCTGATTCTCCTCTCCTCCAGCTGCGATGGATAGAAGGAAGGATGCTGCACTGAGCCAGAGGAAGCCGCTGTCCTTGGTCCTGGGTCCCCGGCCCCAGGTTTTCCTCGTGCCGCCGCCTCCTGCGGCTGTTTGGAACCCTGCCTGGATGCTCAGCTGGTCCCCAGGCCCCCTCCCTCCCTCCCTCCCTCCCCCGTGATTCCTCCCCCAGCGAAGTCTGGATGCTTCAGGGGACAGATGGACAGACACGCAGAGGGACTGAGCTCTTCGGCCAGAGGCCCCGCCTCTGGGGATGCGGGGGCGGAGGACCAAGGGAAGCTCTCCAGGCTGTCTGGGTTCTTCCCCCACGACGCTCACACACAGAGACACACACACTGAGACACACACACACACACACACACACACACACACACACACACACACACACACACACAGAGCACCGCGCCCCAGAGAGGAGCCTGCACCCGCAGCACCAGGGCTCAGGAGAAGGTGACGTAATGCACCCGTGGCTCCTCCTCTCCTCCTCCGCCCCAGTCCTCGGAACCACCCTATCCCCGAGCCCCGCCTTCCCTTAACCCTGCACCTGCCTCCTTCTTCTGGATCCCAGGATTGCAGGAATTTGAGCTGGATGAAATCTTAGATATCACCTAGTCCAATCCCATAAGGACACTGAGGCCCCGAGAGTGGAAAGGGGCTGGCCCAAAGTCACACAGGTGCCGGAGATGCTCTTAGCTGCTACAGGTGCTTCAAGCCCTCTCATCACCTTTCTCTTTCTCTCCTGCAACAGGACCAGAGGTCAAGTGCGTCCCATTCTATAAACACTGATATTGTCCCTGTTGTGTTCGTAGCCTTGTGCTGTGAAAATAAGTTTATAAAAGAGACGTGGTCACACCTCCTGGAGCTTTCCATCTAGCAAGAGAGACTTTCCCTAATTTCAGGCAACACATTATGATAACAGCAGCAATGATAATAGGTGCAGGATGTCAGGGTTGAGAAGTGCCTTACAAAGTAGAAAATATTTGGTGGAGGTCCCTTAGGACCTACACTGCCAGAACTGAGAGGGCACTTCATACACAGAGCATCACAGACAAAATGCACTCTATACTGTGGAATGTCATAATTGGGAGAGGCCCTCCCAATAGAAATTAAGACTTGAGATGGACCTTGGAACAGGAATGTCAGAGCTGGGAGGGGCCTTAAAATGGAGAATGTAAGAGCTTGGAAGGATCTTAGAACAGGGAATATTAGAGCTGGGAGAGAGCTTAGAACAGGGAATGGGGGGTGCAGTACTGAGAATGTCAGAGCTGGAAGAGGCTTTAAAACAGAAGATGAGTGACCTGGAAAGGAGCTTAGAACAGGGAATGTCAGAACTAGGAGGAATCTTAGAACTTAGCGTGTCAGTACTCAGAAGTTTCCTAGAACAGAGAATGTAAGAAGTGAGAGGGGCTTTAGTAAATAAAACATTGAGCCTGAAGACATAAGCTTTGTAAAAATGTTTATTCTGAAATAGAGGATGTTCTATTCCAAAGTCCAAATGGAGGAGGGATTCCCTATAGATTGCAAGGTCCTGTTTTGCAGGTAACACTGCACAGATTTTGTCGAAATTCAGAATGCTTCAGAGCTTCCACTCAAAAGAATTCAGTGCCACAAACTACATATAAAAACCAAGTGGGTTGATTAGATAATGCAGTACAATTGGAGGGGCAGCTAGCCCATAGACTGGTCCATCAGTAAATATATTTTGAAAGTTCCCAGAATTGAATGAGAAGAAGAGACTAGGCAAGTTTGAATTGGTAAATTTTGCTTTCAATGATTCCATGCTGTTTCAAACCTTGTGCATTGTAAACTAACATATTATTCACTAGAAATGTGAACAGTGTGTTATACTGCAGGCTGTACCAGCTCAAAGAATTAGAAGCTCAGAACTGGAAGGGATCTCGAAGTCTGCCAGGTCCAAATTGTACCAAACCTGGCACCCCCTCTATAACTTCGATGCTCAGTAACCATTCATCTGCTGCATGGAAGACCCTAATGCCAAAGACAGGGCAGCTAGTAATGCAGTGGAGAGAGTACCAGGCCTGAAGTCAGGAAGATACATCTCTATGAGTTCAAATCCAGCCTCAGACACTTACTAGCTACATGCAAGTCTCTTGGCCTTGTTTGACTCAGTTTTTCATCTGTAAAATGAGCTAGAAAAGAAAAGGGAAAATCACTCCAGTGTCTCTGCCAAGAAGACCCCAAATAGGGTCAAAAAGGGTCAGATGTGATACCAAAACAAACTATACATAATGGAAAAGCATGGCTTCACACATGTTCATTTTCTATTCCTCATTGTACATGTAAATATTCATGTTTGTTTCTGATGTTTGCCTACTTCAGGACAGCAAAAAAAAAAAATAAGAAGCAATTTATTTTCAACAAAGATCTTTAGTTCAGGGACACCTATTACTTCCCAAGGAAGACTATCCCACTTTTGGACAGTCCTTTCTCATATTGTATCTCAAGGGATCCACATTCTTTCCCATCCCAGTGATCCTGAACCCCTGGCAGCTAATGCATAAACACCAGTTCCCCACCCAAGACTTAATTTTCCCTCAGGTTTATCTACTACAGTCCTACTGCCTTCCCAATTTCCCACTCTAAAAGTACTCACTACCTCCACTGTGCCCTCTGGAATGCATGTTGCACAATTAACAAACTTGCTTTCATCTTTCTTTCTTACTCCTTCAGTCTTCTAGACAACATGGAGGTATGGATCTCTCTGATGACCCTGCTTCCCTTGGCATCTTTTCTAGTACTGGGTCCACTTTGTCTCATATCACCACTGACTCGAAAGTCATACTCCCCCCCCCGCCCCGTTGCTTCCCTCCCTCAATCACTTTCACTGAACCATATTTCCTCCATTGACATTTCATGTTATCCAAATTTGTTATCCAGTCCAGATCCTAGTGACTGTTACTATAGACCTCCAAGACTAGATAGGACCTTCCTTTCTCATGAATTCGCTGTTCAGTAGGTGAGCAGGTATGGAGGAAAGGAAGGAAAAAATTGAAGAAATCATGAATGAATGAAGTTATTGAATAACAAAAAGCATTAGATGAATGAATTAATGAGTAAACATCCTGCCTTTCCTCCAAATGACCCCTGCGACCTTGGGTTCCCATAAAAGAAGACAAGACAGAGCAGAGAGTTCACCCACCAAGCCCCTTGTCCCCTACCTCTGTCAGGAGGAGTGCTGATTGCAAGAGAAATCCAATGTGTTGGATTTGGTTTCTATATGTTAACTAGCTTGGCTGAATGTTTCCAGCTTCTCTTCCTGGCCACAGCCTGTGACTCAATTCCCATTCATCTATGAGGGGGTGGTGAGGGCTAGGCAGGAGGACCTGAGGGAAACAGTGCATGAAAAGGAATAGAATGTAAAAACTGGATTCCTGGGGGTGGAAAAGGATGCCTGTCACATCCCTATGATTAATGAGGATTGGGGTCTCTCTTGTAGTGACCTAAGACAGAGGGAGGGAAGCATGTGGAAATGGGCACCAGAGGGAACGCTTGGTCCTTGCAGCGGGCACTGGACTGTGGGTCAAGAGACCTAGATTCTAGGCCCTCTTCACCTCCAACCTTGCTGATTCCCCTAACTGTCTGGACTTTGCCACCAAGCCCCAGTGAGGACATGTGACCTCTGCTTAACCCCTGGTCTTTCAGCTCTCTCTTCTGTGTTGTCTTTCCCCAAGAAGCTCCTTAAGGGCATGGGCTGTCACTGTCCCCAGAAGTTAACACAGGGCCTTCTGGCACTTAGTAGGTATAAAATCCAAGCTTTTCTGCTCTGCTGTCTGTTTCACCCAAGGCAAACTGTTTCTTCTGTCTAGGCATTAGTTTCTTCTATAATATAAGAAGATCAAACTATATAATCTCTAAGACCCCTTCCAGCTGGCACTCTCTGTTCTAAGGCTCCTTACAGATCTTACGTTCCATGCTCAAAGGCTCCTCCTAAATCTGACATCCTTTGTTTTAAGAGCCCTCCCTATTCTGATAGGTTCTGTTCTAAAGTCCTTCCCAGCTCTGACATAGCTCTGACATTCTGTTCTAAGCCCCCTCCCAATTCCAAGATGCCATGTTCTAAGGCCCCTCCCAGCTCTGACATTTTTTATTCTAACTTAGGCCTATTTTGTGAGTATGAGGTCATACTTCAGAGTTATTCATTATCATTTACATTTCTTGTATTATTATGGAGATTGAACACTTTTTCAACTAAGTATTTGAAATTTGTTTTTCCCCTTTCAAAAAATTTTGGTTCATATCCTTTAAGCATTTAGCCATTATGAATGTTTTCCTTGAATTATATGATTTCCTTGTATATTTTAAAGGCCAAGTTTTTATCTATAATACAATAAAATGTCTCCCTATTTGTGATTTTCTCTCTTTCTCTTGATTGCATTGCTCTCTGTTGCATCAATACATAAATATCTATGTCTATATTGTTCCCCATAGTTTCTTAGAGGCATTCTGGAATAGCAGAATCAACATTAGCCTAGGAGCCACAACACCATCTATCACTTAGTAGGTGTGACCTTGAGCAAGTCAATAAGCTCTTCTGGGCTTCAATTTCCTCATCTGCAAAATGAACATAGTAATAGCAGCACAATTCCCCTCTTAGGGCCATTGTGAGGGTCAAATGAGATAATGTTTATAAGATAGCCCACAAGTATTGGCTATTATTATAATTCTATTTCTTCAATAAATAGAAATTTCTTTTCCATCCACAGTAGAGATAAAGACATTATTATCTTTTTTCTAACTTTGGTTATATCCAAATGGAATTCATTGTGGCCTGTGGTTTCGATGCCCTGACAGCACGTTGAGGCTATCTATCAGTGCACATAGTTCTAACAAGGTTCTACTGATGAGCCACAAGCCAGGCCCAGAACTGAAAAGGAGGAGTCAAGTTCACTGGATCCACCAGGGAAATTGCTCAGAGCTGCCCAAGCTGCCTCCTACTACCACATCCAGACCTTAAGGGTGAGATTTCTAGAGTCAATGGTAGTCCAGAAACTCTTGGAGGAAGTAACCTGGTTTGGTAAGACATTCTCACTCTAATGAAACCAGAAGAAATCTTTATCTCATGGATACTTTCTTCAGGAAAAGAGTCAGAAGGCACTAGATATGCCAAGGACCAAACACACATACACACACAAAAATGAAATTAACTGTAATCTAGCAGACAGAAAGCCACGAGCTAATTAGCCAATTAGGAAATCAATTACTAGTTAGAAAGAAAAATAAAAATGAGAAGCTATCTTTGATACATCAATGGATCTGTGATTTCACTGATAAGGACACATTTATTCAAGCCTATCCATGCCTGCCCACCCTGCATGAGTCTTACAGCTTCCCATCCCAGACAGTCCATCCTCCTTGCTAGAGGTCTCCCTCTACATCTTCTGACTTTGCATGGATGTCAGTGAAACACATGGGCTCCCCGTCAGTTATCCTTCATTCTTACTCCATGGCCAGTCTATCCTTCCTCTCAGTTGTACCTTTCCCTGATGGCATCTTCTCCAACACTTCTAGTATTCAATTCTTTGTAATGTATTGAGGCTTGCTAAGGCCCACCACACACCTCTCCATTTATCTTTGGCTGATCTTCAACTTCAGTTCTTAAGAGAGAATGGTATCCCATAACTCATAGCCCTGGAGTAAAGCCCCAGTCACTCCAGCCTAGTTATAGCTCTGGTGGTATTCTATGACAGCGTGGTGAAAAAAAAGCATTGACTCTACAGTCACCCCTCTGGACCTCGATTTCTTCATCTGTAAAATGAAGAGCTTGAACTAGGTAGCTTCTAAGGTCCCTTCCACTGATAGATATAGGATTCTATGATTCAAAATCACACAGCATCAGCGATGTGAAGATAGATTTTTGTTCAGGAAGAAGTTTGGAGTCATTAAAAGGACTCTGAGATCTCCCAAAGATGATCTATCCTTGTCTCCTCCTCCCTAGTTGAAATCTAGGAGGCCTCGCTCATTATCCATTTAGGGTGCCTGTCCAAGATATACATAATCATAATACATAATCACAGGCTGACCATCCAACTGCAAATGACAGTCTGGACAACAAACATCTTTCATCCACTTGGTTTTTTTCAGTGTGGATCATCAAGCCAAATTCTTTGGAGTGCTAATAGATCTCATTTTGGGGTCTCTCAGCAGTGTACTCTTGGGCTTGGTTTTGCTCCTATCAACATGTTGTTATCTACGAACAGAACATCTGAAAAACTTGATCCATCTTCCACCTGGGTGGTGCTAGACCTCCTCTGTAATGGTACCGAGCATCTTCAGTGAACCTACATATCAAAGTTTTACAATGCACTTGATAGTAATCACCAGAGGAGCAAATAATGTTATCTCTGTTGTTAGGTCTTTCAATGAGTCTTGATCAACTTGAACATATGCCTGGGAGCTGCCTTGGTTGAGAGGAGGGTGTTTGTGGTGGCGTTCACTTTGCTGAAAGTCAGGATTGTCTGGTCACTAATCTGAGCCTAGTGGAGCCTGGGATGCTCTCAACCTTGCAGGCAATTTGTGATGATAAAGATGTGCTCACCTACAGAACAATGTTTGCAAAGCCTGTCTGCAGCCTTCTAATGCACTCCTCAAGGAAGGCTTCAATGCCTATGCAGATTATTCTCATGAAAGGGGTGCAAAGAAAGTCTTCCATGAGTTCTGAAGGGAAAAATTTTCCCTAACTGGGGGAAATCATGGAAGGTTTCATGGAGGAAATTAGCAGCTTAATTGTGGGGTTTTAAATTAATTAATTAATTCTTAGTTTTCAACATTTACTTCCACATGATTTTGAGTTCCAAATTTTCTCCCCATCTCTCCCCTCCCCCCACCCCAAATGGCATGCATTCTAAATACCCCTTCACCCAATCTGCCCTCCCTTCTATCACCCTCCCTTCTCTTATCACCTTCCCTTTCTATTTTCCTGTAGGGCAGGATAGATTTTTATACCCCATTGCCTGTAGATCTTATTTCCCAGTTGCATGTAAAAACAATTTTTAACATTTGTTTTTAAAATTTTGAGTTCCGAATTTACTCCCTTCCTCCCTCCCCACCCACCCTCATTGAGAAGGCAAGCAATTCAATATAGGTTATAAATGTGTAGTCATGCAAAACACTTCCATAAAAGTCATGTTGTGAAAGACTGTATTTCCCTCTATCCTATCCTGCTTCTCCCCATTTATTCTATTCTCTCCTTTGACTCTGTCCTTCCTCAAAAGTGTTTGCTTCTGATTACTCCCTCCCCCAATCTGCCCTCCCTTTTATCATCCCCCCCCCCACTCTCTTATCCCCTTCCTTCCTGTTTTCCTGTAGGGTAAGATAGATTTCCATACCCAATTGAGTGTGTATGTTATTCCCTCCTTAAGCCAAAGGTTCATTCATTCCCTCTTACCTCCCCCCTCTCACCCTCTACTGTAAAAGCTTTTTCTTGCCTCTTTTATGTGGAATAATTTACCCCATTCTTCCTCTCCCTTTCTCCTTCTCCCAGCACATTTCTCACTCACTTCTTAATTTTATTTTTTAGATATCATCCCTTCATATCCGACTCATGGGTTGGGTTTTAAAGAACAGAAGGTAGGGGCTGGCACACCAGGCACAGGAAGCAGTGTAGATAAAGACAGGTAGTTGAAAAAGCGCAGGACGTGTCTGGAAGAATGTCCATTTTGCCTGGATTGTGTAGGGTGTGGCTAGGCATCACATAAGATAAGGCTGGAAAGACCAGGTCCATTCCAACAGTAGAGGGTCTTGAATGCCAGGCAAAGGAGATTGAAATTTACCATGTAGGCTGAGACTATCTAGAAATGTGAGCAGAAGGGTGACATGAACAGGGAATGATAGGGGGTCAGAACAAGATCAATCCATCAACCAATCCACACATGTTTATTAAGCACCTCCTATGTGCCAGGCACCAGATCAGTCTCATTTCAGCTTCCAAGTTCTGTGGAACTCTAACCAGGGCAGACATAGGCCCAGAAAGCCCAATAAACAGAAGGCATACTCCAGAGCATCTCACAATAAGAGAACTGTGCCCAGTGCCCAGACAGACAGCACCCCTAGGAGCCAGGGCTGGCTGATAGGCACTCCCCACTCTGGGTGTCCTCTGGCCAAGGCTGTAGGAGCTGATGAAGAAGGAAGGACGATGACTCCAAAGGCCCTGCCACCATGTCAGCCAGCTCACGCCCTCAGTGGTTGGGGGGGAAGGACAATCTCTGCCAAGGAAATGTTCATCTTGGAGTCCTCAGTGTTCCACAAGTCTGGCTGGGGAGAGAGAGGCTGCATCGAGCCAGAAGAACCAGAGGAAGACAGACTCTGCAACCTGGAAAGAAAGGAAGGACCCAGGCCCATCAGATTCACAGTGTTTGAAGGGCCCCAGAGAGCATCCAGTCCAACCCAAACCCATGCAGAAATCACCTTTGAAGCATTCCTCATTTGAGCTCATCACCTCCCAAGGCAGTCCACTCAAGCTTTGGACAGCTCTGATTATTAGGAAGTTTGCCTTTGCACTGAGCCAAATTCTGCCTCTCAGTGACTTCCTCTCCTTCCTCACCCCCTACCCCCCACCATCATTGCTTCCCAGTCTGCCTTGTGTGAATAAGTCAAACCTCCCACAGGAAAGCTCTTCAGACACTGGAAGACTGTCAAGTGACCCTCCTAAGCCTTCTCTCCTTGGGGTTACACACATGCCAGCTTCTAGCTGGGAGACATTTTTGTCATCTTCCATTATCTGAAGGGCTATCATGGAGGCAAGTGCAATTAAAAGGGTGGTAGAAGGGAGCCCCGGACACAGTCACACAAACTGAGTTGGTGTCCTTATAATTAGTGGTTAGCAAATATGATCTGATTTCTTCCTCACAACACCTCTAGGAAGTAGGTGTTCATTCTCCCCATTTTACAGATGAGGAAACTGAGGCACAAAGTTGTTAAGTGTCTGCCCAGGGTCACACAGCTAGTAAGTGTTTAAAGCAGGATTTGAACTCAGATTTTCCTGACTCCAAGGCCAGAATTATAACCACTGAATCACCCAGCTACTTTATTCACTGTGACCTTGGGCAAGTCTCTTAACATCCCAAAGCTTCAGTTTCCTCATCTGTAAAATGAGGAAATGACCTCCTTTCAAGCTCTTGTTTTTCTGGGCCATAGAAGGCAGAATTTAGATCAAAGACTGGAAATTAAAGGGAGGTAGGTTTGGGGGTCCATCTAAAGAAAAATCTCCTAGAAACTGAAGCTGTCCTAGAGTAGAAGGGTCTGCCGAGGGAGGTGGTGTGAACTTCCTTCCCATCAACCAAGGTCTCTGAACAGAGGCTGGTGACTTCTTGCTTAGGACCTATCAGTCAATCAATTATAAGCATTTATTAAACACCTACTATGCTCCGGACCCTACGTTAATGTAGACATAACTTCTGTTCAGGTTGAGGGTTTGATCACCTGGTCTCTGAGGTGTCTTCCAGCTCTGCATGGATGAACTTGCACTTCAAGTCACCTCTTGGCTCCCTGGGAAGAAGGAAGACAGTTTGGGGAGGTATTTTGGAGGCCCTTGGCATCAGGGGGTGGTGGCACCAGTAACAAATTCAGCCAATGTCCTAACAGTGGAATTCCCAGAATGCACTTGTAGTGTTGGGCAGGTGAGGATGGGGGGGGGAAGGAAATTTGAAATCATGCCCCCATGGAAAAATCTGAAGGGAGTAAGATTTTGTGGTATGATGTGGAGAAAAGGGCAATGGATTTTGAATAAGAGAAGCTGCTACTGACTTTTTGTATGATCATTAGCAGGTCACATCCCCTCTCAGGGCCTCAGTTTACTCCTTTGTAAATTGACAGCATATGATAAGATGTCAGCTCTAGATCCCCACAGAGATGAGAGAGATAGAACAGAAGGTGGAAAGATGACTAGGGCCAAGAGAAAAGTGAGCATTGTTTTGTTTTGTTTTTCATTGGGGTGGCCCAAGCACGCATAGAGAGGGATGGGAAGGATTCCCTAGGGAGACAGTGATGAGTCAGGGCCTGGCTCCATCACACCTTGGTCTGGTGGACTCTGCCTCCCACCCAGCCCTCGCCCGCTTACCACACTGACCCCAGAAGTCTGTCTTTCACTTCAGAGAAGACAAAACTGCCAAACTTCTTGAGTTCATCATGCATCCACCGGATATCTTCCGGGGCCTCTGGAATCCAGCTTATTAACCTGCAAAAGACGGTGAGGAAAGGACTGGGAGTCAGCAGCAAGGAGAGGCAGCAGTAGATAAAACACCAAGCCTGGAATCCGAAAGAATTGGGTTCAAATCCTGCTTCAGACACTTATGAGCTGTGTGACCTTGGGCAAGTCACTCAACCCCTCTCAGCCTCAGTTTTTTTCTATGTAAAATGGGAGGGGGGTAGATATAATGTTATATAAGGTCCCTTCCAGCTTTAAATTTATGATGCTGGGAATTAAAGGAAAAAATGGTATTTGGGGCAGGATTACAACAAAGCGGATGCTGGTAGATCTGAGCTCAGGGCTGTGAGAAAGGAGCTCCCACCAAACACCTTAGGGAGGCTGGAAGACAGAATGCTGAATCGAGGCTAAAGGAATGAGGGGTTTGTAGCCTGAAGAAGAGGAAGGAGGAGTGGAGCCTGGAGAAGGCTCAGAATGACACTGAAGCCTATTGTTCTGTGAATTCTGTGAACAGCACAGCTCACCTCCCCAGAGCTTACAATGGCATGAAAGCCTTTGGGACAGCAAGTAAAGTCAGCTCCCTTCTCTGGCCTCAGTTCTCTCATTTGTAAAAAGCAACGCTTGGACAATAACTGAAAGGTCCCTCCCAGCTCTGCCATTGCCTGTTCTAAGCTCCCTTCTGGTGCTGTCTGTGTTCTCCATCTTAACACTCCATGTTCTAGGGTCACTTCAAATCATGCTCTGTTTTTACAGTGTCCTAACATCCCTTTCTGGTTATAATTTCTAGATTTTCTTGACACTTTGACCTCCCTTCAGCCCCAGCCAGATGATCCCCAGCACTGGGTTTTCAGCATCCATTTTCTACTGCCCACTACTCCACTGTGGAGACTCCTTGGAGAAAGCCACCAAACCCAAGCTGCCTTGACTCACTGCCAAGGTATGGTGCCCAGTCTCTGCTAGGCTCTCCCTGTAGCCCAACATCTTCCATCCTTCTCCTCTTACAAACCTTAATATGTGATTGAAATAGGAATAATAATAATAGTAGTAGTAGTCGTAGTATTTAGTGTTACTCATGTCCCTAAAGTTTAAACTTCTTCATTGTCAAAGCAGTGTCCAGCCCCTTCCTCACTGCGTCTCTCAGCAGGGACAAGATCTCACTCACCTCTTAGTCTTAAAGTACACATACTCCAAAGGCAGTGTGCAGGGCAGGAGTGCGTAGGTCAGCACTTGGCCAGGTATTGATCGGGAAAATCGGGCAAAGAATCCACTGGGTTTTTCACATGACTTCAGCAAAGCTACAACACATAGGGGCATTTGATTGAGAAGCCTAGAACCTCAAAGCCAGGACAAATCTATAAAACAGGGGAGGTCATGACTGGGAGGAACACGGCAACACAAAATGTCAGGACTAGAAGAGGCCCTGGAGATGATCTAGTTTAACCCGCTCATTTTCCTGTAGCTGAGAGAGAAGGGACTTGCTTAGGATCGTCACTAAGCTTGATAATGAGTGAGCAGACTTGGGACTAACACTCTAGTCCAATGGTCATTCAACACAAAACCACTCCACTCATGAGTGCCCAAGCTCACAGCCATTTTTAGACTGCCCACAGACTGGACTCTTCCCCATCCTCTTCCCAGTCTTTAAAGAAGTCTAAAAAGCCAAGCCATGGGGTTGGGACTCCTTGTCATCTGAAGACCCATTTCTCAGGGCTCCGCAGAGCTTGGCACTGCCTTCCAAGCATCTCCCAATGCCTCAGTCACTGTCCAGGAGCTACACACCAGGTACAAGTCTAGTTAGGTCCCACTAGTGGCCAACAGGTCCTACTTTGCCTGCTCCCTGAACCCCTATTTTGAATAAAGATGCTTGCCCAAATCTCTAGCAGTTAAAGGTTTACAAAGCGTTTTACTCACAAGCACCTGAGAGGAGGGAAATACAGGGACAGTCATCACCCTCCATTTTACAAATAAGGAAATTGAGACCCAGAGTGGTCAATTGTCCAAGGTCACACCACTAGTTAAATTTCAGAATCAAGACTCAGATTGAGATCTTTGGATCCCAAGACTTGCCCTGCCAGCCTTGATGAACAAGTCAGGTAACTATTCTCAGCATCCATTGTCTTTTCTGTAAAACAGCATCCCAGATTTCATGCTAACAGGGACCTTCAGGTACTATCGCATCCAACCCATTCATTGTACAGAGGCCCAGGGCAGTGAAGTCACTTATTCAAGGTCACAAAGGTAGCAAATGGGAGATCTGAGATTCCAACCCAGGTCCACTGATTTTAAATCCAGGGCTCCTTCTTCTGTATCATGGGGCCTCCAGAAAAAGCATAAACATCAGCCGTGATTGTCATGGAAAGGGAAGCTCTGATAATAACGATCATTATTAATATTCCTCTGGAGGGCTTTGCAGCTGTAAGGAGTTCTTGTACCCCTCTCATAAGGGCCCTTTCCTCCATGACCCCTTTATGACTTTGACCATGGTCTTCAAGAGTTTCTGTGACTACAAATTGGACCTCCCTGCACATGGTGAGCCTCGACAGCTAAGCTTAGCCAGACTGCATCCTCAGACAGCTGGCCCACTGTCCGTCACTGGGCTGGTTCTGGAAACTCCCCTGACTTGGTAAGGAGAAGCTGCCAATGTGAGAGCACAGGTGGCAAAGCTCTGGAGAGCCCAGGGCCCCTCTACCACCAGCTATTATCAATAGGAATGTGATGAATTAGTATAAACAGAACAGGAAGTATGAGATAAGGATCCTAGGAGAGATGCAAGACAAGGGCTCGGGGTGTCCCTCTAAGAGGAAAAGCAAATGGGTTCGGTGGGGACAGAGGGAGGGCAGCTGGTCGGCTTTATCAAAGAGATGACATCCAAAGGACACCCAGATGTCAGCAGGTGGTCAGTGGATAAAGTGATCATAGGGCCCTGGTTGTAGAGCTGGAAAGGACTCCAATCCAACCTCCTCTTTTAACAAAGGCAAGAACTGAGCCCATTTGCCCAGAGTCAGCCAGGAAGTTGTCTGAGCCTGAAGTGTAATGGAGAGAGACCTGATTAAATCCCACCTCTGACACCAAAGGCTGTATGGCCCTTGGCAAATCCCTTAACCTCTCAGTACTGTCCCAGCTAACTCTCTTAAGACAGAGCAAGAGCCATTGGTAGGGGAATTTTTTGTTATTCTCTGCCATTGAAATCACAGGTCTAGTTCCCACTCCTCCCCCCCACCAAAAAAAAATAATATGGCAGGAAAAAATCTCCAAGAAAAGTGAATAATCTAATTCTGCTGAAACAAAGAACACACAAAGCAGGCAAAAGGGAGGGATGCTGGGACATCACAGTGGGACCAGATTATGGAAATCCTCTTCTGGCAGGCTAAGGATTTCAAGTTTATCCTCTGGCCACAGAGAGCCATTGAAGATTTTTGAGCTGGGGAGTAACATGAGCAAGCCTGTGGGTTAGGATAGTTCCTTGGGCAGCATACACTGGATGGACTGGAGAGGAGAGAGACTGTCGATATGGAGATGAATTAATAGGCTAATGTAATGATTCTGATAAGAAGTGATGAGGCCAGATCCACGGTGCTGTCAGTAGGAGTGGAGAACAGGGAACAAATGTGGGAGAGATTTGGGAAGTAGAATCAATGACAAGGACGGAGGGCAGTGTAAGGTGGACCCCATCAGCGACGGCGAGGAGGAACATGGGCAGGCTCTAGGGCACACTGGAGCGAGTTGAGGTGGCCCTGAACCCTCCAGGGGAAGATATCCAGTGGTATGGGATCCCAGGGTCTCTCATGAGCCAAAGACAATACCCAAGGACAAAACTCCCATTTAGGAAGCAGGAGAGAGAGGGAGACCAAGTAGGAGCAGTTAGAAACATAGGGGGAAAGCAAGGAGAGAAGAGTGTTTCAGGTAGAAGAAAAGCTCCTGGAGGGGAGGGCAGATCTTATCTGCCTCTGTGACCCCACGCTACCCTGCGTAGGCACAGAGCCTTGAACCCAGAAGAGGTCCCCAGAACCCCTCGCAGTCCAGACTATTTCACTCTTTGTGCTTCTGTCCCCAGAGCCCATCTCAGTCCTGGTGCAGATACTGCACATTCATTGTTGTTGCTCAGCCATCTTAGTGCTGTTCGCCTCTTCACAGACACATTTGGGGGTTTCTTGGCAAAGGTGCCACAGGGGTCGGCCATTTCCTTCTCCAGCTTATTTTATAGATGAGGAAATTGAGACAAACAGGGTGAAGTGACTTGCCCAGGGCCACACAGCTAGGAAATGTCTGAATCCAGATTTGAACTCATATAGATGAGTTGCTGACTCCAGGTTGGCACTCACTCTACTGTGCCACTTATCTGCCCCCTACATTGATTTATTGATGCATTCCTGATGGCTGACTAGATGGCTGACTGGGTGGATGGATGGATGGATGAATTAGCATTACCTGCTTCAAGTTCTGGAGACAGGAGCTCAAATTTTGTTATATCTCTGACCAACACATTGGGCACTCTCCAGTTAGCACATGATCCTCCTGACTTTCCCTTTTCCTCACTGCCACCATTTCTTCCTCCATTACTACTGGCTGGCCAAATTACAGAGCTAGGTGATGAGATCACCCCACAGGGCAAGTTTGGGATGACTCCCTCCTTTGTAATACCTGAAGAAGAAGAAAACATGAAAAATGATATGCCAGTCATCACGAAGGAAAAACGCCATGAACCAAACCAACTTCCCAACCTGAACGGATCAATGTGGGCATGGTGTCATGTATGTGCAGACCCACTCATGTACAGAGATGTGGGTGGGCACAGCAGAGTACCAAAGCTGGGAGTAGAACCTGTTGTCTCCTTTGCATTTTTAAGATTCATAAATCACTTCAGAACATCTCTGCGAAGCTGGCAGTTCAAGAATTGCTCTCCTTGGGGAAACTGAGGCTCAGAGAGGCTGTGATTTGGGGCCATAGATTTCAAGCTGAAAGGAAGCTGAGAGGCTACCTAGTTCAACCTCTTCATTACATAAAGAATGAAATTGAGGCCTGGAGAGGGGAAGGGACTGGTTCAAGGTCACCAAAAATTCTCCCATCTTGAAGGCCATATCCTGTTGTCCATATTTGAGCAAAGAGTCTGGACTGTGGAAAAGCAAAAGGAACATTGGACTTGATGTCAGACATCCTGGGTTCAAGTCCTGGCACTTCTTTTACTATGACTTTGAGCAAGTTTCTTTGTGCTCACTGGGCCTCAGTTTCCTCACTTACAAAGCAGGGCTCATCATCCTTGCTCCTGCTCACTCACAAGGAGGCAACGAGGGAGAGCTTTGTAGACCCTGATGCAACACAGAAAGGGTGGCCATTGTTTTAACAGAGGATTGTAGGAGCTGGGGGCAATCAATTCTGGAATTATGGGGTCACGAAACGGAAAATGCTTTCAGACCTTGGAAGAATTGTATGAACTGATGGAGAATGAGGTCAGCAGGACCAGGAGAACCACCTATACCATAACAGCATTGTAGAGACAAACAACTTTGAAAGACTTAGACACTTTGATCACTATAATGACCAGCCATGATTCCAGAAGACCCAGGATGAAGTATGCATTTCTGACCTCGTCGGAGGTCTTCAGGCAGCCTGGGTGACTGACTTTCAGGGATAAAACCCAAAACCCCTTCTTAGAATTACAGAATCTCAGAACTGAAAGGAACACCAGACGCCATCTTGTCAAGCCCACAGTTGAACAAGAATCTCATCTGTGTTTTTACTGTCAAGTAGCCACCCAGCCTGTACTTGAAGACCTCCATGGAGAGAGATCCACATCCCTTCATGGCAGCCCATTCCACTTTGGGGAAGCTCTGATTATTAGCAAGTCTCCAGACTCCCACCTCAGGATTCTCTCCACCCTCACAGAATGGCTATCACCAAGGTTGACCAAAGGCCATGACAAGACTGGTGGGAACTTCTCATTTCCAGAATATGCTGGATCAGGAGGAATGCTTCACATCCAGAAACCATATCTTGTTTATAATTTCAAGAAAAAAACACTTCCATATTATAAATATCTATGTTGTTATCACTGAGCCCTCCCTCTCTTCATTAACACAGATTGTGGCACCCCACCCCCACCTCCCACTTTAACAAATTTTCTTCATGAGTTGCTATTGTTGGAAAAATTAGTTCCCTTAACTCTGCCCAAAGGGCTACAAAAATGTGCACACCCTTTGATCCAGCAATAGCACTTCTAGGGCTATATCCCAAAGAGATCAAACAAATGGGAAAAGGACCCACATGTACAAAAATATTCATAGCAGCTCTTTCTGTGGTGGCCAAGAATTGGAAATTGAGAGGATGCCCATCCATTGGGGAATGGCTGAGCAAGTTGTGGTATATGAATGTAATGGAATACTATTGTGCTATAAGAAATGATGAACAGGCTGACTTTAGAAAAACCTGGAAAGACTTGTATGGTCTGATGCTGAGTGAAGTGAGCAGAACCAAGAGGACTTTGTACATAATAATAGCCATGTTATGCAATGACTAATATTGTTAAACTGAACCCTTCTCAGCATTACGAGGATCTAAGACATCTCCAGAGGCCTCGGGATGGAAAATGCTGTCCACATCCAAAGAAAGAACTATGGAAGTCGAATTGCTCTCACTTATTTTTACCTTAAGTTGAGTTTTGTTTCATCTTTCTGATGGTTCCTCCTGTTGGTTTTATTTTTTACTTACAACTTCACTAATGTGAAAATATGTTTAATGGGTATGTAAATGTAAAGCCTATATCAGATTGTGCACTGTCTTGGGGAGGGTGGGGGGGAGGAAAAGGGAGAAAAATTTTCAACTCAAAAGCATATGGAAAAAAGAAAAAAAGAAAAAAAAATAGTTCCCTTGTGGCTGCTCCGCTTGGCCAGACTGGGCCTTGGACAATAGACACGTGTATCCTTCTCCAGGCCCACAGCAGGACTGTGGACAGAGCTTGGCCTCAGTGGCACAGCCTCCTAGTACCCAAGGGGCATCTCCATTGAAGGAAGATGTTAGTGAAGCAATAATAATAACAGCTCACATGCATGTAGCACTTTGTACTTTCCTCAACATCCCTCTAAGGTCAATAATATGTGTATCAGCATCTCCTTTTTATAAGAGGGGAAAACCCAGGATTAGAGGTCATCCCATAAATGGAAGAGTTAAGACCCACAAATTGAACTCTAGAGCTAGAAGGCCCCCTCTAATCCAATGCCCGAATCTTACAGGTGAGTAAACTGAGGATCACGGTGACTGACCCAAGACCATCGAGGCGGGAGGCATCAGAGAGGAATTTGAACTCCCAGAGGTTCAAGAGGGAGGAACCCTCCAGTGCCTCCAGAGCTAGAGTGCTTTTCCTTTGTACCACACTGCGCATGCTACCCTGAACACGTCTTCTGAATCCATGTTGAACACTCTTTCCCTTACGTGACATTGCCTCTGCTGGTAAGCTCGTTACCGAGATCCCCAGCAGCTAAGACATACCTCGTCTTTCCAGGAACCTCAGAGCATCTAAATAGCCTTGTCTGCAAACATCTGCCACCACCTGCAAACACAGAAGACACCCAGGAGCCACCTTGGAGGCAGGGCCTGGACACAAGGAGAAACAGCTTTCTGCTTTAAATGGCCTGCACCTCTCCCCACTCCATCCCCCACACAGCCCTTGCCCCTTTCCGACTGTGTGCCCAGATCAGGCCATGCAAAATATAAGAGAAGAGGCACCCCCTAGCTTGAGTTCATCCTCAATGATGTTTCCATGGAAGAATGCTCTTAGCGGCTGCCTCCCACCTGCCCATACCACCCCAGCGTGAGAATATGCCAGGGCTTGAACCCAGAGTGGCGGAACATTGAGTTGGTCTGGGTGGAGCTTTTGAGCTTCATCCAAGTCTCCTGTGTGTGCACACTCACATGCACACACACCCCCACATTCACACTCACACACACACACACACACTCATACTCACACACATTTATACATTCACACACTCACACATACTCATACTCGCACTCACACATTCACACACACAGAGTTCTTTAGCTCTGACAGGAGCCTCCGTCTGTGTGGACTTCCCAAACCAGCTGTGGCATAACCAGGCTCCTCCTAGGAGCAGGCTCGGTTGCCAGCCTAGGGGAGTCCTCCCAATCCAGGAGCCTGCAGCAAAAGAGGTCCCTCCCCCTCTACCCCACCCTCCTCTGTACAAACTCCCTCCTTCAAGGCCCAGCTGGAGCTCCACTGGGTGCTAGAAGCTGCTCCTGACCTGCCCCAGGCACACAGATGGCGCCCCTTAAATGCCCACAGCCCCTCATGTTTGCAGCTTCCCTTCAGCTTAGCCTGGCTCAGACAGGCACTCTCATCGCCCAGTCTTACTGTCCTGCTATCTCCCCTGGCTCTCTGCTCTGCCTTAGGTCTCCCTCAGCTTTTCCTGACATGATGCAGAGCTGGATTTTGCTTTTTTGCCAGGGTGATGGCCATCAGGCTGGCAGAGGCTGCCTGGCACAGCAGAAGGAGAAGCCTGGAAGTCCAGTCTGGGGCCTACCACCTACTAGCTGTGTGGCCATTGCCCCCCTTAGCCCCAGCTTCCTCCTTTGTTAAATGAGGGTGAATGAATGAAAACCCATTTCAATGACCACCATTGTGCCAGTAATAATCCTCGCACTGCCTGCGTGATGGACTTTTTGGGGAAAGAAGCTCCATGGGGAGGGACGTGGTCAGGATTTCAATATAGTCTGAAGATTCAACAGTATCCCACAGGCTTCACTGAGATTCACAGACTCTCAGGGGCCTTAGAAAGGTCTGGTCAAACCCACCCCTGAACAGGACTCCCTGCATTCTTGAAAAACAGTCAGCCAGGCTCTGCTTGCAGACTCACAGTGATGGGGAGCTCACTACCTCCTGGAGCAGCAGCTCAGGCTAGGCTTTTCCTCACCCACTCTGAAGAAGCGCCCTCTGGTGGGGAAAGTGGTGCCTCCACACCATCGCCTACACCCTCTCACCTTACTGATGAAGAAACAAGCCCAGAGAGGTCATTGGATCATAGACAGAACCGAATGTAGAGAGAGCCTAGTTCAACCCTGTGAAGGCACCTCAGTGACTTGCAGGTGGAGTCAGGAAGGCCTGAGTTCAAATCCTCCTTCAGACACTAATTTGCTCATGTGACCATGAGCAAGATGCTTAAGTGCCGTTTGCCTCCGTTTGCCTATCTGCAACGTAGGAAGAAGAGCACCATTTCCCAGGGCTCTGGTGGGGATCAAATGATTGACATGGGCCAAGTGTACTGCAGACGTTTTCCAAACCTCTCATTTGACAAGAGTGAAAGCAGGCCAAGAGAGGGAAGCAACCTGGCTGAGGTCATGCAGGGTCACTCGGTCACTCAGCCACTCAGCGCCTGGGTCGCGGCTGGACCCCAGGATATCTGCTGCTGACACCAGACTGAGTTCTCCTGCTCTGGGGGGCCCCCCACACAGGCGCTGAAAAGAGACCAACGGGGGGCCAGGCAGATGGAGCAGTACCTCGGGCTCTGGAGGGATGAGGCTCATCACCCCAAAATGGAAGTTCCTGGTGCATATCTGGAAGCTGGCATTGCAGAGGTTCAGCTCGTGGAAGCTGGCAGAACTGCTTTCCGGGCAGATGTCCACGGTCCCATGGAAGGGGGAGACGGTGATGGTCCTCTTCGAGTCAGTGAAGGGGATATTGTTACTCAGAGCTCCATCCACATAGCGCTGAGGGACAGCAAGAGAGAAGGTCAGATGGAAGGGCAAATGCCCACCCTTTCCTCCTTCTTGGGGTGCCTCCCTTCTGCCCTCTGCTTGCAGGAATGGTGAGAACAACAGTTGCCCTTTCTGCACTGATTCAAGACTGACCGAGCACAATCCTCAGAACAGCTCTAGGAGGTAGCGAATGCAAGCATTATTAGCCCGGGTGGACAGATGAGCAAACTGAGGCTGAGAGGAGGAAAGTATCTCGCCCAGTGTCACCACTAAGAAACTTGAGAGACCTCAGGGAAGGTCTGTGCCCTTTGCACTGTCTACTTATTCATTTATTCATTTATTAACAAGCATTTATTATGTACCTACTCTGTGCCAGGCACTGTGCTCAGCACCGAGATTAAAAAGACAAAAACAAAGCAATCCCTTCTCTTCCAGAATGTACATTCTACTGAGGGAAATGACAGTCTGCAGCTGTTCAGTCTTTTCAGTCGCGTCTGACTCTTCCAGACCCTATATGGGGTTTTCTTGGCAAGGATCCTGGAGCGGTTTGCCATTTCCTTCTCCAGCTCATTTCACGGATGAGGAAACTGAGGCAAACAGGGTGAAGTGACTGGGCCAGGGTCACACAGCTAGTAAGTGTCCAAGGCTGAATTTGAACTCAGGAAGAGTCTTCCTGACTCCACGTCCTGAACTCTATGCACTATGGTGCCACCTAGCAGCCCTGAAATAGCATGCACCCAGATAAGTAAATACAGAATAATAAATGATTTCCTTCCAGGATTCTTTCTCCTTTCTCCCAATATCAACTCCAAGCTGCTTGAGGACAAGAATGTACTTTATAAATGCCCCTTTCTAACTATATTCACAGATAATAGACCAGAGAAGCATCTTACCCATCTAGAGATGATCTAGTCCAACCTCATTTTATAGATGGGGAAACTGAGGCCCAGAGATGGGGAAACAGGAAAAGTGCAAGCCTTGGAGACAGAAAGACCCCAAGTTCAAATCCTGCCTTGATCACTTCTCCACTCTCTGTGCCTCAGTTTCCTTCTCTATAAAATGGGGAGAATAGTAGCGCCTACCTTCTAGGGTTGTTGTAAGGATCAAGTGAGTTCATACATGTCAAGCGCTTTGCAATCTTTAAAGCACTTTATAAATGCTAGTTATTACTGTCCAAAGTCATTTAGCTAGCCAGCCTATAGATTTAGAGATAGAAGAGACTTCACTGGCCCAGGGACAATTATTCCAACCCCCTCATTTCCCTGAGAGAGAAAGTGAGACCCAGAGAGGTGAAGGGCAGAGTCACACAGCTAGAACACGGGAGAACCAGCCACTGAATGCAGCTGTTCTGAACCCAAGCCCAGTGCCGTTGCTGCTCAGTCCCTCCCCTCTTTTCCCAGAGTTCTTCAAGGACATAGGAAAAGCACCTGCCAACTTACGTTTCCCTGAAACTCAGGCGGGATGACACCACAGTAGAAGGGGAAATATGTGCTGCAAATGACTGCCTGGGAAGGAGAAGGAGAAAGGCTCCATTACACACGGACTGCCAAGGAGAAGCCAGGCCACCCTCATGATTCCTCCCATGCAGATGTCTTAAAAAAGACATCTCCACGTAACTTTGCTGTGTATTTGGAGGGAATAGCAAGCTGCACATGGAAGATTTGCACTCGTCTTTCTTATTGTACTGGGTTATGGAAATGCTGGGGGTTTTGTTCCAAGAATTAAAATAAAGTAAATTTTTAAAAAAGAACGTAGTTTCCTCCAGGGCAGGGGCTGTTCTCACTTACGTCTCCAGTGCATCTCTGGTGCCCAGAGCCGTGCTTGGCATACTTGGTGGCTAACGAAAGCTTAGTGATTGCTGAATTGATTGGTGGCCAGCCTGATTAGCATCAGAGTAGGAAGCTTCAATACCCTCATGGGGATTTTGTGTCTATTTAGTCAGGAATATGTCTCCCCAGAGAGAGTGAAAGCTCCGTGAGGGCAGGGCTTGTTTCACTTTTGTATACCCTTGCCTGGCTCAAAGCTGGCACTTCAGTTCTTGTCGATTCATTGATGGATTGATTGATTTTCAGCTCTGATGCTTATTATTGCTATGACCTTAAGCCAATCTCTTTTCTTGAAGATGCCTCATTTTCCTCTCCTAAAGAAAAGCTAAGGAATTGATTCAGTTGACATCTAAGGCCCTTTCCTAGCTCCGGATCCTCCAGAGATAACCAGCCTTTCCTCCATTTTTAGAAAGCTATTTCCCACCAGCTAAAGAGAAGAACTTTTCTGCCTGCTGGATAAATCATTACCCAGTCCTCAAGCTTGCATCTCCTTTCCCTCTACCTACAAAATTGCTATGGTCTCCCCCAGACTCAAACAATTTTCCCTTGACTCTGTCACCCCCTTAAGCTATTGTTCACTATCCTTCCGCCCTGCAGTACTAGACTAAAAAGAGCTATCTGCCCTCATGGCCTCCTCCCTTGCCAGCCACTCCAGCCTCCTGTCACCTGGTTCCTGACCCGCCCATCCCACCAAAATGGTTCTCTCTGTCCCCATCACCAAGGCCTTCCTTGGTGCTCAGTCCAGCGGCCTTTCCTCTGCCTCTGTCCTTCTTGACCACGCTCCACACAGTAGGTCACATCCTTCACATACTTTGGCTCCCTGGTCTTTGGAGACACTGATCTCTTTGGGCTCTCCTCCTACTGACCTGAATGCTCTCTCTCCATCTCCTTTTTACTCACTATTCTTTCTCTCTTGTCAGTCTCCACCCCCTCGTGGGTTCAGCGATCTCTCTACCAATGACTCCCAGATCCCTAGAGTCATTCCTGGTCTGTCCTGAGCACCAGTACAACACCTCTGACCACCCCCTGCTCGTCCTCACTTGCTCCTCAAATTCAGCACACCCCAAATGGAACTTCCTTCCTCTCCCTTCTCTGCTCTGGTGCCACCACTGTTCCCCCACTCACAAATGCAGAACCACCTTTTGTTCTCCCCAATTTTTCACCTTCTCCGTCCAGACGCCAAGTCCTCCCCCATCAATATTTACATCTGTCCCCTCCTTCCCTCTCACACAATTGCCATCCTAGCCAGTCTCCATCACCTCCCATCTGAATTATTACAACACTCTCCTACCTGCTCTATTAGTTATAAATGTCTCCAGTCTGTCCCCCTCCCACACAGCTGCCAAAGTCACAGCTCTGACCAAATCATTCCCTGCCCAAAAGAATTCAGTTGTTCTCCATTGCATCTAGAAGAAAATAAGAAGTCCTGAGTCCACCAATCAAAGCCCTCCATGACCTGGTTCCAGCCTTCATGTCTTTCTAGACTGGTCAAAGCAGACCCTGCCATTTCTGCTCTCCCATTTGAGCTCAGGATGCCCTGTCTTTAGTTGCTGAAGTCTCTCCTTCCCTTAAAGCCCAACTCGGGGGCCACGTCCTCCACTGCCCATGTGAAAGTGATGGCTCGCTCCGAGTTCCTCCTCACAGGGCGCCTCTACCTCATTGTCTCTTGGGTCAGTTACCTGTGAGCCTGTCTTTCCCATCATTTGATTAGAAGTTACTCAAGGGCAGGGTCTGTCTCTTACTTGTCTTGCTCTTCCTGATGCCTACCTAGCATGGCACTCTGTGTCCAGTAGGCATGTAACAAAAAAAGTGTCAAACTGAAAAACTGAATTTAATAGATTGAAAGGAGCCTTGGTGACCATTTTGTCTAAACCCCCCCCCCCCCAGCCTAAGGCAGGAAGGCCTCCATGAAAGAAGGGACAAACACAACACTGGGCCTCAGGCAGCTGTAACATTCCCAAACGTGGCCTGAACCAAAAGGTAACATAGATAATGCTGATGTGTGGTTTTGTAAGTCCCCACGTCCCCACAGGCATCCTCACACAGTTACGTGGCCCTCGTTTCTACTGGAGCCTGACCCCAGGGCTCTAAGGTGGACGTGTTCTGCCAGATAGCTGCCTCCTGGCCACACCTGACATTTTACCCCAAGCAGGCTGGGAGAATCCTCCCAGTGCAATGACACAGAGAGGGCAGAGATTCCAGGGATCTCCACCTCTATCTGAAAAGCATCCTGCCACCTTCCATGCCCTACTCCCAAGGCCACTGGAGAAAGCAAAGGATTTAGCCTAACCTGCCTCCTTCACAGGAGGATGCTCAAGGCTGGAGTGGTTTCCCAAAGTCACAGAGCTCTGGTCAGTAGCAGAGCTTAGGGTCAAAGCCGGATCTCCTGACCCAAAGCCAGCGCTGCCTGGCTACACTCTGGGGCTGTCCAATTTACCATTCTCTTTGTTGGGGAGCTCAAGCCTGACTCAGCCACAGAGACCCACCTGGATGAGCTCATCTCTAGTGGCAAAGTGGGTGATAATCACATTCTTTCCAGCTGGCCACTGAGTGAGGGAGATGCCCATCCTCTGGGAGGCCAGCTCGTGGACGTTGTCGGGAAGGTACTTCTCAAGGCGCTGTTTCATAAAGTCAGTGAGGTCATAGGAGGGGTGGAAGATGCCAATGCTTTTCATTTGGATTTCCTTGACCACGTCCATGAGGTTGGAACAGCAGAGGTCTAGAAGAGAAAAGCAGACAGGCCCTTACCTCAACACTGACCCCTTAGACAAGTCCTTCCCTTTGGCTTGGTAGGGGAGGTGGGATGGGGCAAAGACTTTACCCTCAAATAGGTAAGGAGCTACGACCCATTCTCTGACAGTTCCTTCCCTTCTTCTTCTTTCCCTTTCTTTTCTCCTTCCCTTCCCACATGGAGTTCCCCTATCCCACCGAGATCATAAATGTACTGGTTACTCACAGACCAAGTCCACCGATGATCAACTGGACACTTTGATCTGGGCCAGTTCTCTCCTTAGGCAGTCTGGTGTGGTGCTCTACCTCCTTCCCCACCCAGACCTACCCTTCCCCCTCCTACACACACACACACACACACACACACACACACACACACACACACACACACACACACACCCTGATCAGTTTTAGCCCTCCTAGAGCTCAGAACTCCCAAACTCAAGATATCCCTCATGCACAGCCTGTCCCTATACTAATAAAAACACAAACCCAGACCACTGCCATCCCAGAATGGGCAAGATATTATTAAATAAAGATGACAGAATCTAGAGTGAAAGGAGAGCTCATTAACAACAGTTTGGAGGACCTCTTAGAATCCTTAACTTCCTTCAAGGCACGACCAAAGTCCACCTTCTGTACAAAGCCTTTCTGGTCCCTTCCCACCTTTTGGTATACCTTCTGTATTACACACTATAAAGCTTTTTTTTTTTTGAAGGCAATTGGGGTTAAGTGACTTGCCCAGGGTCACACAGCTAGTAAGTGTCAAGTGTTTGGTCTGAGGCCAGATTTGAATTGAGGTTCTCCTGACTTCAGGCCCCGTGCTCTATCCACTGCACCACCTAGCTGCCCCATACACTATATAGTTTTATACTGCTTGGTTATGTCTCTGATGTCTCCCTCATTAGACTGTGAGCTCCTAGAGAGCAGAGACTGGGTTTTTGCTCTTCTTTGTCTCCCCAGCACTTGGTATACTAAGTAACTGGCATATAATAAGAGTTTACTAAATGCTTATCAAGTAACAAAAAAAAAAAAAACCAGAGAAGGAGAGACAATGTGGCCTAATGGATAGTGAGCTGGTCTCAGAATAAAGACCTGGGTTCAAGTCTCACCTGTAACATATACTAGCTGTGTGACTCTGGGCAAGTCACTTAACTTTTTAAGTCTCTAAGTTACAGATGAGTTGCCTCTCTGTGTCAATAAAGGGAGCTCTCTCACTGACAATTCCCAAACTGGTGAAATTTCCGAGAGGTGGGGGGAGGGGAGCAGAGAGGGTGTTTGGCAGAATTTTCCCCCTCTTGGTTACCTAGGGGACTGGAAGCCAGCATAGTGGAGGGAGTTGGGTGCCATTTTTTGATCCAAGAGGCTCACACTTGAGACCTGGCTCTGGCACTTACTAATGGTGTCACTGGGAACAACGTGGTTCTTCTTCCTGGGCCTCAGTTTTGTCATCTACAAGATGGGCTCAATAATCTGCATTACCTGCAAGGCAAGCCTGTTAGGAGGAATGTACCTTGCAAAGCATAGCTACATGAGTCAATGAGCTTCTTTCTTCTTTGTCTTAAAGCTTTCTTCTTCATAGCTACACAGATTCTTGGAGCTTAGAGGGACCACAAAAGTCACCCGGTTTAATTCCCAGCGGAAAAGGAACCCCCCCCCCACCACGACATCTTCAACAAGTGGTCACTCACGCTGTGATTGAAGATCTCCAGTGACAGTGAACTTACCACCTTCCAAGTCAACCCATGCCATGTTAGCCAGCTCTGATTGTTAGGAAGTCTTGGTATAGGAAGATTGTTAGGAATCTGTCTTTGCAACTTCTACACACACACACACACACACACACACACACACACACACAAACTCACACACTCCTCTTGTTCTGCCCTCTGAGGCAAAAAAGAATGTCTGATCTGTCTTCCACGTGACAGCTTGGAGATAACTTAAAAGCAGCTACTCTCACTGCCACCTCCCATCTTCTCTTTTCCAAGGGTAACCTTCCCCTCTTATGGCATAGTCTCTTTCCATCTTCCTCCAAACAAAACCCCTCCTGTTTGCCACCACAGCCAAGTGTCTGGCCCAGGAGACAGATTCAGACAAGCGTCTGTCTTTTCAGTGGGTCTTCCACCTGTGTTTAGCCTAAGCTGGACTAAGCCTGGCTGGGCTCAAGATCCCAGAAAGCTCCTCTCCCACTTGCCCTTCGGCTGCCCCGTGAACTCTCAAATGGTGGAAGCCAGGGAGTCCGAGAGCCAGGTTCTTGCCCAAACTTTTCACTGATCTGCCCTCTCTCTGGGCTTCAGTTTACCCTTCTGCTAGGTGAGGGAAGTGGGAATGTCCTTAGATGCCCTCTCCAGTCTCTGCCACCTCTGTCTTGGGGCCCACTGAAAGCCTCCAGCCTGCCCTCCTTCCCCTTTCCCTCCCTCTCCGAACCCTCCCCCCATTTTCCTGCCTACTTTTCAGGTTTGAGCTTTCCTGATCCTGACACCACTTCAAAGACACCTGGCCCAGGACAGGGCAGGTACCAGAAGCTCGGGAGCTGGAAACTGCCCAAGATCACTGTGAAATCAAACCCATGGCTTACCTGCCCACAAACTGAGATGGGGCTTTAGAGATCACCTGCTCCCTTCCCCTCTTTTTAAAAGCAAGAAGGTGATCTGCCCCAGGACACACAGCCCGGGAGTGGCGCAGTCGGAATCCGAGCCCAGACGCTTGGACCCCGAGTCCAGGAGCCCTACGGAACTCCGCGCTGCCCGGGAGTCTGGCTGCGGCCCCAGGCCCCGGCCTGCCCCTCCAGCAGCCACGCACCCATGGACATGTTGGTGATGATGGCGAGGCAGCACAGCGAACCCGACGACGAGCCGTAGAAGCGGCGCGCCCCGCTCAGGAAGTGCGGGGCGCGCTCTCTCAGGCAGGATACCACGCCCACGTGGTAGAGCCCCATGAAGCCCGAGCCTGCGAAAGACACATCCCAACTTCCCTCCTGCTCGTACATGTCCGCAGACCTAGCCTGGAAGCAGCCCTGAATCCGGCCTCCTCCTCCAGGAGCTCAGGGAGGAAACCTAGGCTGGCTAGCCTCTGCCTGGGAAGCCGCACTGAGACCGAGGCAGCTGGGAGCATCCGCGGGGCACAGCTGGCCAGAGTGCAGCCTTGGGTACCAAGCCAACTTAGCACAGCTTCCACGTCCGTGACGTCACCCGCCAGTCCATCCAATCCCAGTGGCTGCGCTCTTCCCCTCCCCGCAAGCAACCTGGGGTCCAGCGCAGGCAGCTGCAACTCCTACACACACACACACACACACACACACACACACACACACACATACACTCAGCACCCAGGTTCCCACCCGGAGGCTCTCACTGAGCCAGTCGCTCCCGCTTTTCCAGATCAACGAAGCTGTCCAGGCTGTTCCTAGAGGTCAGGTCAGGCTTGCCTCCTCTGCAGTGCGGGGGACAGGAGCCACTCACAGGTTCCTAAGGATCCGAGATTGAGACCTGGAGGGGACAGATGTGCATTAGCGATCACCCAGCTCAGCGCCTTTATTTTACACATAAGGAAACCCAGAGAGGCCTGGTGACTGCCCGAGGTCACACAGGAACAGGTCGGTCAGCGTATGTTCGAGCTCTGCTGGCCAGGAAAACATGTTAGAACTACAAAATTTAAAAAGAAAATGGCATTAACTCTTTCAGGGCTTGCTCTGTTACTTCTCCAGCATTCATTCCTTCATTGTTACTCCACTCACCCACCCATTCATTCATAAATTCATTCGTTCATTGAGTGCACTCATTCATCACCTCATTCATTCACACTTGCCTTCACTGGTTTTCTTATTCCTTTGTTAGCTGATTTGCTCACCTGAGAGTCCCTTTGTTCATTCACTAACTCATGAGTTCACTTAACAAATATTTACTAAGTGGCAACTTTGGATGAGGGCCCTGTGAGTACCAGTGGCTATTAAGGTGAGAAGCATTTGATTTCCCTCTCAAGAAGCTTCCAGTCATCTACAAGGAAGGGTCAAGATACTCTGGAGAAATAAACTAACCCTAGGCAGAGGGCCACCTGCACCATTGGGTGGCTTCCAAGGGAGGAAGGTCACTTCCAACTGAGAAGCCATGAACCCTCCGTACTCTCTCACCTCGGAACCCCTTTTGACCACAGAAGATAGAAATAACTGGATATTTAATTTTATAGCACCTTAGAGTTTACAGGTCACTCTCCCCCTCCCCGAAATGACCCGGGGGGGGGGACAAGTACTACTGTTCCCATTTCACAGATGAGGAAACTAAGCCTAGGGAAGGGAAGGAACTCAGCTAGTCCATCTCTCTCTCCTCTCTCTACAATGTCTGAAAAAAGTAACAAGGCAACAGGACTAAGGTTGGAGACTTTAATGAGGCTGATGCTAATTAGCCCAGATAAGCAGTGACTAAAATGGCCCAGGTTTCTGAGTTGTGCAATGGACTGGCTCACAAGGTAGTGAGCTGCTATTGTGACAGATCTTCAAGTAGAGACTGGATACTGACTTGTCAGGGAGTTCTCCTTCAGGCTGCCCTTGAGCATCTCAGCATGGGGTGTCTCCTGACTCTGGATTCTGAATCTTCAATTCTATAGAATAGTACTTTACACCCACAACCTCACTCGTTCCTCACCAGCACCCCATGAGGGAAGGAGGGCAGAGCTTGTCATCATCATTTTATGAGGAGAAAACCGAGGGGCCAAGAAAGGAATTGATTTGCCAAAGGTCACTTGGGAAGTCGTTGGCTAAACCAGAAGTTGGACTGAGGTTCCTGCATCCCTGACCAGAGCCCATCCCTCTGTAAAGCAGCCTGTGCTTTGGTCTCCTTAACGCTGCCCTCTTACCCCCTGAGCTGGTCACCTTGGGGGATGGACCTCTGCTTCCTGAGTCACCAACCCACCATTCTGGGTGTATGCACTTCCTTCAGAACCTCTCCTCCTCACTCCTCATACCACACCCAACTCAGGAGGCTGTCAACTGCACCCTCCCTACTGCAAACAAGTCAACAAGGTTTGGCCCAGCAGGTAGTGGTATTTAGGGTTTACCAAGCACTTAAACACTCATTTAAATTTTCATTTTTTTATTTATGAACTTAAGCACCAGCCAACATGAACAAAGATTAGAATATATAAAATATAGACAACGTAGGAACGGAATACAACTCCACTGGACTGTATAGGTAGCCATGAACTGCAAAAGATGCAAAAAGGGCAGAAAAACATAGCCGAGGGCAATCCACATGATTTAGCCTGGCATTCGAAGCTCTCTGTGCTCAGACCCCAAGATGCCAACCTCACAACCAATCCTCCCTGCGGTGTAAAGAAACTGCCATCATTTGCTTGAAGACCTCCAGGGAAGGGAAACCTATTGCCTCCCAAGACATCCCGTTCCACTTTGGGACCATCTTTTTTTCATTAGTGTCTTCAAGCAAGGGATGGACCACCATTGGCTGGGTGGAGGGTAGAGAGGATTCTTGTGCATTTATGGATGGGACTAACTGGTTTCCAATGCCCCTCCCAGTTCTAAAATTCTGTCATGATGCTACTCTTACTCCCTTTATCCAGAGCCTCATCACCTCATGTCTCAGAGACTAAATCAGCCTCTTAATTTGTGCTCCTGGCTCTGATTTCTCCCACTCCCTTCCACCCAGCACAGGCTGCCTGACCCATCTTCCTAAAGAACAGTGTTGATTACATCACTCCCCTACCTGCCGCAAAAAGAGCAATGAGCTGGGTGTCAAGGGACCTGAGTTCTTTTCACCTCAATTTGTTCATCTGTAAAATGGGGACAATACCATATTGGTCTGTATATGGCCCAATCCTCTAGAACAGGATTATAGATTTGGAGCTGGGCAGGTCCTTAGAGATAGTCTAGTTCAAACGCCTCAGTTTACACAGGACAGAAAAGCCCAAACAGCAAACAGACTTGCCTGAAGTCATAGAAATCACCAATGACAGATCCAGATTTGAACCTAGGTGATTTGGCTCCAATCCTGCTCTTTTTGCTGTGCCACACTACCTCTGACTTAAGGTAGCCCTTGAAGTCCAGGCTCTTCTTCCTCAAGGGAATGAATTTGCTACCCATAGAAATTGCTATTGTAGTTACTTCTCACTGTACCAGTGGTATGTGTACAAGTGGTCCCATGGCATGCTAGAAGCTGAAAGTCCTGGTTCTGTCCCTGGCCTGCCATGAGACCTTAGACAAGTCACTTCCATTCTTAATGGCCACTCTAGCATTCTGGGACACTACACATGCTTACTTTAAGAATAGTCATATCTCCTGGAAGGGGGAGAATGGTTGGGGTGGGGGAGCAGACAGCTGAGCTCAATTCAATGTGGACTTCAGCACGCCTTCCACTGGTGAAGGGAAGCTGTCAGAGCAGAACCCAGCACCTGCTCCAGACACTGAACCAAAGCCTCATCCTCAGTGTTAGAGACCACTGGATAGTGTTTGAGGGAGGTCAAGGATCAGAGACAAGGTCACGGCTCCCCTCTCTGAGCCACAGGGGTTTTCAGAGGGCAGAGAGCAGAAAGAGACCTTAAAAATCAGTCTGACCTTCCATTTTACAGAAGAGGAAACTGAGGCCCAGAGAGGGGAGCAAACTCAATGATCCTAATGGGCATTGATACAATAAATGGAGGTTTGCAAAGCACTTTACAAATATCTTAAAATCTATACATAAAACTGGTTTTTACAAATGAGCTTCAGAGAGGCTCAGTGATTTGTATAAGGTCACACAGGGACTAAAGACTAGATTCATGTTCTTTCCCCTCACTGGACTGTTTCTTTTGGATATTTTGCTCCTACTCTATAGCAGGCATTCTCAAAGTGCCTCACATCCCACCCTCTTCCAGCCCACCCTCCACTCAGTGGCCAAACTGACCTTCCTAAAGTTCGGGTCTGACCATCTCCAGCAACTCCTAACTGCCCCAGGATCAGAGGTAGGATCCTGGAGCACTCACGGCCCTCCATACCTGCCCCCCCTTTCCAGTCTTCTCCACCTTACTCCCTCCATGTACTCTGTGACCCAATGATACTGGCCTCCCTGCTCTTCCTCCTACAAGACACTTCATCTTTCCACTGCCAGCATCTTCCCGAGCTGCCCCAAGCAGCTGCTCTGTCCCTCCTCATCTCCACCTTGAAGCTTCCCTGGCTTCCTTCAAATTTCAGCCAAAGTTCCATTTTTACAAGAAGGCTTCTCCATTCCTCCTCAGTCTTAGTGCCTTCCCTCTCAGGTTGTTTTCATTAACTTGTGTATATGCTGTTTGTACGTAGCTCTTTGTGTGCCATCTCCTCACTGAACTGTGGGCTCCTTGACAACAAGGACGGTTTGGGGGTTTTTTTTAACCTTGCTTTGTATCCCCAGTGCTTAGCACAGAGCCTGGCGCATAGTAGGTGTTTAATAAATGTTTATTGATGTACAGTCCAGTCTCTGGATTTTACAAACTGAGGCACAGAGAAGTTAAATCATTTCCCCAAAGCCGAACAGCTGGTAAATAACGACCTGAGATTTGAATCGAGGTCCACTGCCTTCAAATCTAGACCTTGTCTCCCCACACTCTGCCAGCAAATTCAGGGAGGCTCATCCCCAATTACATCACTTCCCAGAGCAACTCACTAAACCATAAATACCATGATATGATGGAGAGAAGGCTGACTTTGTAGTCCCAGGTCCCAGGTTCAAATCCTGCCCTTTGTCTTATATTGCCTGTGTGACCTTGGGAAATCCACTTAACCTCCCTGGACCTCAGTTTCCTCACCTGTAAAATGAAAAAGTGAGACTAGCTGGCCTCCAAAGTCCTTTCCAGCTCAACGTCTATAAGTCTGTGCCCTATCTCCTGAACCAAAAAGGGGCTGCGGTCTGTGGTGGGGAATGGAACAAGTAGGTGGAATCTTGGAAATATTGAAGATGTTTCCCAGGTACACTTTGAAGGAGCTGGATTATCAAGGATTCAAACTTCCCAGTAAGTCATTAGGATGAA